ATCCATTTGCTGCCATCCATTGTATAATTACCTTATTTTATTCTTCAAATGGACAATTTTCTCAGTTTAGATATTTGATATATTTTCTATTGTTTATTGTGAATAAAATATGGGTTTAGGAGATTTGGAAATCATTGCATTCTGTTTTTATGTAGATTTTACTTTTTTGGAATTGGGGTTGTATGTATAATACTCAGTCTGGCAGCATATAATATGGCTAAAACATTGCTTTTCAGTATAGTTGTTATTCATCACTTTACCATATTCTCCTACAGAGTTTAGGGTTACAGGTCCTCTTTTTTACACCTCAATCAGAGGGCTCTGCTTTCTTCTCATACAGCTTCTTCAATATGTGGATCTCCTATTCCTTACAGGAAAAAGCTGAACATGTATTCCTTATGACTTCCAACTGTTATTAGGTTTTTTGGTTTTTTTTTAGGAATATACTTTATTTGTCTATGCTACATTTCCTTGCCATGTTTAGGTATATTAGGCTTAGGCCTTTTTTATCCTTGTTCACCATCTTACATTGTTAGTGTAATTTATTTTCCCTAGTTCAGTAATTGATTCCTTTTCCTGTTCTTTTCCTCATCACTTGGATCATTCAGTTGTTATGCTCACCCCTCGTTTGGACTGCTTATAGATGTAGCACATGTCCAAGATTTACTACAATCTTGTGGCCCTTAATGAATGATGAAGAAAACAGGATATTTGTATTTACCATAAAATTATTTTCTTGAAGAATATTAAGAGTCACAGGACCCATCCCTTTGGATAATTAGGCCTTATGCATTTCATGCTTATAAAACTCAAGCATGATGGTTGGACGTAGATTTATACAGGGGCTGGCTAAGTATCTTTTGTTTGCTAGTGTCCAAACTTCCTGTAGGCAGCAGTATAACCATATGTCCAAGGTTTACTATTATCCTATGTCCTACAATGAGCTTAAAACAACATTTTACGTAAGTAAAAAAAAGTCTGCTATTGCTGGATGGTATACTATATAATGACTGCACCTGGAAGTGGGTCAAGAAGTAATGTAAACACATTACGTTTTTTAACTTTCCTTATTGTTTCCACTGACTGAGTTTATGACATAACTGCACATTATTATGAAGCACTGTGGCGGCTGTCAGAGCACAGAAATACACACCACTGTCTGTCACATTGACATTAGACACAGTCAGGGGGAAGATCTTCTTATTCAGGTAATGCCTTGCTGTAAATTTATTTTCCATTAGTTCTTCTGTTCGTCCTAGGCTTTTTAGGATGTACAGGGGACTCTTCCCAGGGTACTGAACATACCAGAAAACATAGGGAGAGCTGTCTGCTGTTTCATATTTACAGTCTATTGTGATCTGCTGCCCCGTTTCTGCATTCTTTGCTTCCTTTGACTGTGTAACATTTTCTGCTCTGCAGATGCCTGTTTGAAGACAGTAAATAAGAATGAAGGAAACAAAAAGTAACATTTCATGCAATTTAACATAACGTATACTGAAAAGCACCTGTTAAACAAATAGCAACAGCAGCATAGTGGCAAAGATTCATAGTGAAATAATGAGTGGCGTGTTTGCCCCAGAAATGTGTCATTGTCTTTTCTCTGATCATATATATTCACCAAAGAGGAGCAAGAGGTGCCTTCATTATGCTAAAAAGGGCGTGTATTATTTCCTGCAGCATTCACACAGCAGAGAGAAGACTTGACTGAAAAAATTGTCAATAATTGGTTATTTATTATTCACTAACAACTGCCACAGTAAAAACACTGGACTGTGGGACATTGGATTTTAAATAGCCACAGCAGCCACTGAATATAACATAATTCATTTCTAATTAACAGCAACATAAATGAAAATAACATAGCAAATCAAATTTTACCAATCTATAAGCCAATTAGTTCACAGTAACATAAGCAGTTAGAGGGTCTTTGACCACCATATGTTTAATTCACCATTTCCTAAACTCCATCTTCAGCTGCATATCACTGAGGACCTCTTTACCGAAATACCACAAAGTCCCTTGGGAACGCTTTGATTGTAAGCTCCAAGGAGCAGGGCCCTCCTATCCCTCTTGTATTGAACTGTATTGTTGCTGTATTGTCTCCCTTTATATTGTAAAGTGCTGAGCAAACTGTTGGCGCTATATAAATCCTGTATAATAATAATAATAATAATAACTAAGCCCATAGCAGACCATGACAATTACTAAACACCAGAGGGGGGCTTCACATCGACAAGTAAGTGCCAAAACCCCAAGCCTGCCAAGTAAGCATGAAAGACACTTTACACATGCAAGTTCCTCCTTACCCAAAGGGCTTATTGGCTACCTTCCTTCAATTTCAAGAACAATATGTCAGTTCCCACTGTATTAGCATGGACCCCGTCATCTTTCCAAAATTGAAGGTCCTGCTCTACCAGTTCTAAATGCCTAACAACTAATTCCCTATTCCCGACAAAATATCTTTCTGCCTCTCTGTTAACTTTATTTCAAGCCTTGTCCACCCTATACACAGAGCAAGTGTACTGCAATTTTTTTTTCTGGTCACAAGATCAGACCATGCTCTTACATTTCAGGAAATTTCATCTACAGCTGGTTAAAGTTTATTTCACATACCTGTTCCCTCATGGGACAAGTTGCTATATTATTACCCTCCACGTAGAACTAATATTTATTATTATTACAGGTACTTACAGGCATTGTCAATTTACACAGCACTTTACATATTGTACATTCACCTCAGTCCCTAACCCTCAAGGAGCATACAATCTAAGGTCCCTAACTCAGATTCATACATACACATACTAGGGCCAATTTATGCAGGAGTCAATTAACCTACCAGCATTTCCTTGGAGTATGGGAGGAAACACACACAGGCACAGGGAAAACATGCAAACTCCAGGCAGGTGGTGCCGTGGGTTGGGATTTGAACCAGTGACCCTAGTGCTACCAGATGAAAGTGCTAAACATTTAGCCACTGTGCTGCCTAATATATGTGAAGCCCTGTCCACTTTGGAATATCTGTATTGAAAGTGGAGTAGCACCAGACTCCACAACATACCTCACATTACAATTCAACGTACTACCACATTGACCCATAGAATATTTACCTACCTCCCTTGTTTTCTTGTATAGGCCTAGATTGCTCCTGAATGAACATATGAGTTGAATAAGATTCACACCAGTGCTTGCAAAGCGGCTAGAAAATACGAAACACAACCCCCCCAAAAAATAAAACTATTCTTATCTGCCTTACAATTAGGACCTGCCTTGCCTAAAAGTCTGAATGTAAACTACAGTAAATGAGAGCAAACATAAATCTGAAAGAAACTGAACACACATCTCTTTATTCTTCTCACCACATCAGCACAAAACCCCCATCTCGAGTACCTTTGCCAGTATGCTCTAAGCACCCTTTGAAAAGGACTACAAACTGATATCATGATAGGGCCAAACCATCTGCATTCCTGAAAAAGTGACATAAAGTGCCAAACCATCTGCATTCCTGAAAAAGTGACATAAAGTGCCAAACCATCTGCATTCCTGAAAAAGTGACATAAAGGGCCAAACCATCTGCATTCCTGAAAAAAGTTAGAATTAAGTTTGCCTTTAATACAGCACTTAGTGGGTGCTTTCCCTTTTTTCTCTTATTCCTCTTATTCTTATTCTCTTAAAAAGTGGCCTTTTTTAACCCCCTCACCTCCTGAAAGTGATGCACACAATAAACCTTACAAACTGTCACTGGCTTGACCCCGAACTTCATATTCACTACTTCCCAACCAAACTAATCTGTGTTTTGACCTTGTAGTGCATACAATTCACATTTAAGAAAGGTTATATGGCCAATTTTCCTTCCAATTCTCCTTTCTTCAGCTACCCAAAAAATGCCATGGATAAATACAGTATGTCTTGTACTGTGATTCACACACCTGGGGGTAAAGCCACTACTAGGTTCAGTAGTACATACAAAAACAGGGTGCCCAGAGTCTACCTTGATATGATGGAAACTTCCTTGGCGGTAAATACCATAGCTCATATTATTACCCGGAGCTTCTGTATAGTGGCCAATGTCAAGGTTGACATTATGGCCAGCATTCAAAATGATCTGCTGTTAGAGGATTCCAAAAAAGAATGCCCAAACCTCTAAATCCACTTTGTGCTTGTTAGACAAGTTAATGCAATGGTAACCACAAATAAGCAAATTAGACCACCTGTACTAACAGGTCTGTAGATACCAACATCCCAAGTGAGATAATATTTTAAACCCTCATGCACACTAGATCAGGGGCGGACTGACCATTTGGAAACTCGGGCACTGCCCGAGCGCCCGGAGTCAATAGGGGGCCCCATGAGATGCCCCTGGTACCTTTTTCATAGGCTTTTTTGAATTTGGGCACGGACACAGGGGCCCCATGATTCCCTATTGCCCGGGGGCCCCATGAGTTGTCAGTCCGCCCCCGCACTGGATGTTTTGCTAACGCTGATAACGTTAGCTGTCTAAAGTCACGTTAAAAACTTGAGTTTTTTATCTTTTTTTAGCATTTTTTGCATTAGCGTTTTGACACGATTTGCGCCGTTTTCCCACCTTTTTCTGCACTTGTGGTTTTTTTTTTTAGTTTTTTAGCGTTTCTTTTACAAAACAAAAAAAAATTTTCTGGTCAAAAAAAATGTCCAAAAACGCCGGTTTGCGGCCTTGTACCACATTTTACCGCGTTTTGCCGTGTTTTTCAGCATTAGAGCATTTTTACAGCTAAAAAACTCCTCTAGAAACCCACTAGTTCTGAGTTTTTTTTCCAGACAAAAAACGTCCCTGCCAAAAAAACCTTGATTACAGTCTATGTGTGTATGGACACATAGGATAACATGCTGGGGGGTTTACTAGCTGTAGAAAAAAACATCAAAAGCCAAAAACAGCCGCTGTAAAATCATCAAGTGTGCATGAGGACTAAAACAAGCAATCTTAACCTTCCTGGCGGTATTCCCGAGTGTAGCTCGGGGTAGAGTTTCAGTACCAAAAGCGGTAACCCCGAGCTACACTCGGGCTTACCATGCGGCACTGCATAGGGAGTCCCTATAGAGCTTACCTTGTCCTTCGCTCCCGCGATGTGTCCCCTGCAGCGTCCCCGGCCATCTCCTCCGGCCGATGCCGGCATCCGGCTTCCGTGTTCCGTTCCCTGTGATGTCGGGATGTACGGGCACCGGAACCAGGGGCAAATTTGAAATTTAAAAAAAATGGCATTTTTTTAAAAACGATTCTTACATAGTAAAACATTGCTGTTTCAAAGCATTTCACATACATTTTGTCCCTACTGCTTTGTCCTGTGCCCTGTGTGCATTTTGACTGTTCTTTCTGCCTGGAAACTTAGAAAAGTGTATGGCATCCAAAAAGCGTCCCTTTATGTCAAAAGCAGTTTTAGACCAGCTAGAGAACAGCGATAGTAAATTAGAACCACTTGCAGAATTGAGTGATAATGATTTGTGGGGAAATTCATCATCAGACTTGAAAACGATTTTGCGATTTTGCCCAGTGATGTGCGAACTTGGCACTATATTTCAAATTTCAGTGTTTTTGGTTTGATTATATTATTGAATAAAATTTATTATTATTATATTATTATTTTTTATGATTATTTATTAAATTATAATTTATGATTTCGTGTTCAAGTTTTATCATATCCGGAATGTTTGCTAGACTCTTGTTCAGACAGATTTCAGTGAGTTATTCCTAAAAATGACAGGCCTACAATAAAAAAACTATATATTTCCATGCAAACTAATGGTACCTCTTTCAGCACCAAAAATCTGAAATAATCAGACCCCTAGGGAGGTTAAATGGGACTTTTAAGGTATAGTATATGTATCTACATATGCTACAAAAAAATTATTTTACAGGCTATTGCAATACTGCAATACCTCCAGATCCAGACAGAATTGCATATCAGCTTTATTTTATATACTAATATTTTTGATGATTGCACCACTCTTTGGACCCAAAGTTGTTGCTTCTCACTGAGTTTCATGAACAGCAATAATTTCTTCCAGAGAATATATTACCAATAGATGTAAACCTGCAATACACAAAAATAGCATTATTATATTACATCCATACAATGAAAGATTAATTCCTATCCTAATAAGGTAACAAGATTGCAAATTATATTAGCGTAAGGATAGAGGCCTGAAAAATAATAAGTATCACCTGAAGTACAGAGTTTGCCCAGTAACCAAAAAACCTGCAGCAAAAAAGCCCGTGATAAGAGATTCACAAAGAAAAGCTGTTACATGAAGGACAAATGCAATACTCAAATAGTCATCAAAGATATGCTTTATTAGCAAAGTTGCACATAGAAGACAATTGAGTCAAGACTGCAAGTAGCCATCACCTCAACAAAGGGCAATACACAAGACAACCTTAAAATAAAAAAATAATAAAAAAGAGACATCATAGCAGGCAACAAGTGATGCTATGCTATAAGGGCAATGACTCACAGGTCTTTTGCGTCAATAGCAGAGGCACATCGGGGAACACCACCACAGTGGGGAAATATGTATGAGATTAAAACATATGCAGCAGGCTGTACATCAATCATATGTACATGTGAAACTCCAAGATTGCTGGAAATAGGAGCCTATTAGACAATGCTAAGGAGCAAGAATTAACCAACTATAATATATATCAGGCATGGTGAGTAATATCAAAAGATGACCATAAGGACATACTGTAGATATACATCTGCTACTTATAAACCATAAATCAAATATCATTGCTAAACACCACTTGTGGTCTGCCATGGTGTCTCTTTTTTATTATTTTTTTTGTTTTAAGGTTGTGTATTGCCCTTTATTGAGGTGACGGCTACTTGCAGTCTTGAATCGATTGTCTTCTATGTGCAACTTTGCCAATAAAGCATATCTTTGATGACTATTTGAATATCGCATTTGTCCTTCATGTAACTGCTTTTTTTTGTGAATCTCTTTTCACAGGTTTTTTTGCAACGAGATTGTAAATACATAGAATTGTATTCAGCCCATATAAAATAAAATATGACACTGTAATGCAGGTGTCTGACCACCTACCAGGGATCAGGAAACAGGAAAAATGGAGGACTAAAGAGGATATCACAATGGCAGACTAAAGTCCAATACTGCCACTGATGTATAAGGTGCCAATTGGTTCAGTATTCATCAGAAACTTCACTTCATAATTATCACCTCTCAAACAAGAGCGGAGGTTTATTACCCTCAAAGAGGGAATCACAATGGCCACCTTTGACCAGGAATAAAATCAGCTGGCCCGGTCAGGTACTTCCAGCTACACCTAATATAAACATAAATAGCTCAAATGACCCCAATGAAAAAGGGAAAAGCTTCAGCAAGGTATGGAACTTCTATTATCGATACAAGGACAGGGATAGTCCAAGAAAAGTCACCCAATAGATAACTGATCACAGATGATATAAAGATCAAAAAAGATATACATATAAAAGTCCAAAACAAAGGGTAGGAAAGGGGGAAGAACCCAGTAATATCTAAAAATCAATCTTTCATCATGTACCATATGATAAACATTCCCAGTTGTTAATTGTAGAGCCAGAGAGGCTGATAAACAATCCCATAAAGCAAAAGTCAATTATTTTCCTTTACCTTAGTTTGAGTTTGTGCTGTGCCTCTCTCTTCAAATTGTGCTCCCCTCAGGTTGCATTGCCATGCAATGGAAGGGTTCCCATAGACATTTCAGCTACAGATTCTGTTGACTCTGTGGCAGCAGGGTCCCTGTTTTGTAAGCGATTTCTGGCACTAAATTGCCCTAAGTGATATCTGAGGGCATTCCTTTTTCAACCACTAAAATCTTGGTGGTGCTTTGAGGTACCCTATTTTAAGGTACTCTTCCCAATTTATGCAGACATTTGCCACCATATGACATGGTCATGTTACGCAATTACATCATTATGTGTGCTTATGGTGCTGACATCATTGTGCCGGTGTAGATGTAATGTTGGTACGAGTTGGGGTGGCTAGCGGGAGGATGCGATGACATGAAAGATATATATGGGGGGATGGCCATTAAACCCTTCCCTATTGCGTCGCGATGCAACCTGAGGGGGCACAGTTTGAAGAGAGAGGCATGGTATGAATTAAAAACTAAGGTAAAGAAAAATTAATTGATAATTGCTTCACAGGATTATTTATTAGCCTCTCTGTCTCTACAATTAACATTGGAGGTACCGTATTTATCATATATTTTTAAAGATGTATTTTTAGATATAACTGGGGTCTCCCCCTTTACTTCCCCTTTTTTTTGGACCTCTTATATTTGTATCTTTTTAAGGATCTATAAGAGACATTTACCTAAAGACTCTAAGTTTATAAGATCTGTAATCTACTTGGTAATATTTATGACTTTATTTGGAATCCCCCTGTCCTTTTATGAATGAGAGGAGTTCCATACATTGCTGGAGTTCTTCCCATATAAGGACAAAGGGCATTTCCTTTTTCCCTTTGTCAATGGGCTAATTTGACCTATTTATGTTTATATTAGGCGTAACTGGAAGTACCTGACAGGGACAGGTGATTTTATTCCTGGACGATAGTTGCATTGTGATTCACTATTTGAGGTAGGGTAATCAACCTCCCCTCTTGTTTATGACAAAATAATTATGATGTGAAGTTTTGAACCATATGGCACCTCATACAACTGTTGTAGTATGGAAGTTAAGTTTGCCCTGTTTGTGACATCCTCTGTGGTTCTCCTGTCTTCCCCTGTGTCCTGATCCATGAGAGCTGGTCATGCACCTGCATTACATTCTGATACTTGATTTTATATGGGCTGGATACAATTCTAGGTATTTGCAATCGTCTTAACTTGTGAAAATAAGAATTCATATTTTATTGTAAATATATATTGTAATAATGCTATTATCTTAAATTGTAGATTTACATTTATTATTAATAGTCTTGTGGAAAAGGGAATGCTGTTCATGAAACGCATTGAAAGGCAACAACTTGGGGTCCAAAGAGTTCTGGAACCATCAAAAATATCAATATGTAAAATATCAGCAATTTGTAATGCTGTCTAGACCTAAAATAATTGCCTTATTTGCATAACCTGTAAAAATATGACTGTAACAAAAATTACTAGCCAAAATATATTGTATGTATGTCGAACATTTTTATACAATGTGTAAGATATTGACATTTTAGATTTTGTTATAGTATATATGTATTTTGTGATTCTTTAAAGTGTTTCTAAACCCAGGACCCTGCATTCACTATATCTGGTGTCCCACAGTACACAGAACGTGGAGATGCAATTATTTTAGTAAATATAAGCTGCTAAATACCTTTTCTCATCAGTAGTATATAGCAGACTTGTAACTTTTATCAAAGTCAAGGCAAGCACTGGTTAAAGCTTGTAGGAGTTTTCATTCTCCTTCGACTGTACTATGAGGCTGCAGGACCCCTGACCCTCTGGATAATGGTGATTGGCCCTGTGCTGATCACATGCACTCTGACAAGAAAAAGAAAAAAACTCTCCAACAGTACACACTAAACTGAGCATGTGCACCTTGCCCCCAAGGCTCTGTTATATCGGCTCTTTAATTCTTCCAGCTGATGGAGTGTTAAATGGCATTCCATTGCAGGGTATCAGAATACCCAAAAATGTAATATCTACCATCATGTCCTCAGTCTTCTCTGGGGCCAAAAGATTTCTGAACTTGTTGACTACGTTTTGCACTGTGTGAAGCAGTGATGAGCATCAAAATTTTACTTGAGTTGGACTTTTTCCTTGCACAGGACTTTCATTTATTTATTATTTTTTGGATTATTCCGAGGACTTTTCGTTTCCTCTTTGTAACCGTCATTATTTTTAACACAGGGCTGCAATAATAATTTGACATACACTATATTGCCAAAAGTATTGGGACGCCTGCCTGTACATGAACTTTAATGGCATCCCAGTCCTAGTCCGAAGGGTTCAATATTGAGTTAGCCCACCCTTTGCAGTTATAACAGCTTCAACTCTTCTGGGAAGGCTGTCCACAACGTCTAGGCATTTGTGTCTATGGGAATGTTTGACCATTCTTCCAGAATCGCATTTATGAGGTCAGGTACTGATGTTAGACGAGAAGGCCTGGCTAGCAGGCTCCGCTCTAATTCATCCTAAAGGTGTTCTGACAGTTTTAGGTCAGAACTCTGTGCAAGCCAGTCAAGTTCCTCCACCCGAAACTCGCTCATCCATGTCTTTATGGACCTTGCTTTATGCACTGTTGGAACAGGAACGGGCCATCCCCAAACTGTTCCCACAAAGGTGGGGAGCATGAAATTGTTCAAATGTCTTGGTTTGGGACACCT